AACTCCGCCTTGAAGCTGTGCCCGTGCTGCATCCCCCGCAAGAGCAGCTGCAAGCTCTCCTGGACGAAGAGGGTCCGCCGAGTCCACGTGTACAGCCCAAGGTGCTCGCCGTCAAAGTGGATTGTGTGCGCCTCGTCAACGCACTGGCAGTGGTAGATCCGCACTCGCACCCGCTGGCTCCACTGGGCGGCCGTCACGTCGGCCTCCATCCATGCCTCGACCCACGAACCTCCGCACGCCGGCGACTCGAGGGGACACGGTGCGCTCAACAACCAATTTTCGGACAGCTCCTGAAAGTGGCAATCCCTCAGCTTGCTCACAGGAACGGGGCGGTCGAGCGAAGTCACGAGTGGGTCGTGGACGGCGTGCGCATCGCTCAACCGTGCCAGCTTGGGTTTTGTAACCTGGACGGCCTCAGTTGTGAGGAGCATGACGGGGGTGCGAACCTTCGAGGCCTCTCCATGCTCGCACCCGCCGTTCAGGGCTGCCAAGGAGGCAACCGAACAACTCGTGCACGCGTCCACCCAGCCTCGGATTGCCTCCTTGCCCCTCGCTTCCGCCGGCGGCCGAGCGCCCCACCCCACTCTTGTGGCTGGACCTTGCGAGCCTTGCTTGTGTGCCTCCCAAAAAGCCTTATTGCGCCTCGCCCGTTTGCGAGGGGGCTCATCCTCCTCAGCCGACCCCCCTTCCCTGCCACAATCGCCCCCTTTGCTCTTGCGATCGTTGAAGATTTGTGCGGCGGCGGCCTCTCCAAAGAGGCGATCGTGCTGACGACAGAAGCACGAGTCGCCGGCGCAGGTCGCTTGCTCATGGGGCCGCCGCTCCAGCAAGCCAACAAGATACCGCTCCTCCTCCGACAGCCCCGCATCACCTCCCCCCTGCGAGGAGGTGCCCACGGCGGGACAGACCCCAATCTTTGGCAATTCTCCGTTCCACCGCTCGAGCCAGCCTAGCGCAGCCTCCGACAGCGGCTCCGAGAGCCTCAAAACCATCTGATCGGCAACTGAAAGGTCTCCCGAGTCATTCCTCAGAGCTGCTTTTGCCGCTATGACGTGCGAGCAGTCGGTGAGGCTCGGGCACCCGTCGCGCTTCCCCTCGCAATACCAAGCCCCCTTGCTGCTGCGAAAGACCATGCGCCTCTGAGGGCTTGGAGGTCCTTGGAGGTTGTCGGCCACTGCAAAGTAGCTCCCCGTCTCATCCGAGCC